CCCCCACTCTTTTTTTTTTTTTTTTCTGAGGAGAAACAGTTGAGTAGACGCAGCAGTAAAATGGTTAAGAGTATTAGTACTTAAGCAACCAAATTTGCCACTGCCAAGTAATTTAGGAAAAAAAAAAATTCAGCCTCACAGATAATAGAGGGAGAAATGATCAATACTTATAGTGAGAAATAAATAAGTAAAATGCTTGGAACAAAAGAGACTGGATGGTGCTACTTAGAAAGAGCTATTTTCACCAATTTTCTTTCAGAAAATCAGGAGTAATCCTCTTCTAATTTAGTCCAACAGAACCAAAGGGAACAGCCAAAGACAGAGAGATGAAAAGCAATTTAACATCAAACTGAATCAGGTTCCTGGTTCTGACTGCAAAAATAAGTTTCATAATGATTTTGGAGAAAGGCATTAAACTAAGCCCTAAGATAAGGCTATGATGAAATTATAACAGCAACTGAAAACAGTTTGAATTTGTAAATAAAAAGACACTAAATTATACTGAGGTGCCTACTGCTTTTTAGTGACGTTTTCTTTAAATAATCTGTAGTTATTTTCAAGTGTGGCAAGCTTTGTGTTGCTCTGATTAGTTATTTGAATTGGAGAGCAACTTTTGTAGGATGAAGTTTTAAGAAGTTTCAAGTGCAAAAATCTTTCACCTCCTGAAACTTGGATATTTGGATAATGAGGAAGCATCCAATGGTAACTCATTCATTTTCCTCAGGACAGTGGCTCTGAACGCTATGTATTATAATCACCAAGGAAACTTAAAACAAAAAACAATGCCTTTGCCTCACACCCAGAAATGCCAAGTTTTGAGGTGGGAATCTGTGTCAGTATTTTTTAATTCTCCAGGTTATTGCCATGTGCAATCCGACTGGGGCCCACAACCCTAAGAAGAAATAAACCATTTCCCCAAGGCTGAAACTACAAATCTAAGCATAAACTATCAAAAATAGTTAAAGGCATATCAATCAATGAGGCATGGGAAAATTTTACTTTAAAAAATAATTTCTTTAAATCACACTCTGTATTTATACGTTGTTAATTAATTGTAGGAGAGCACAGAAAGCCAGTAAATTTAGTTACTCAGTTTAAAAAAATCAATAAGAAATGAATACAATTTATCTAAATCATTGTCAAAAACTTTTGATCTATAAACGAAACACTTAATTTTCTAATACATATTTATACTGATATACCCATAATATATGCTTTATTATATTAATAAGTGACAAATAAGAGTTAAGGGAATAATAATTTAGGATATTCTACGTATGTATCTCTCTCTCTCTCCTTCTCTATCTACCTATTTATCTACCTATCTATCTGAAGTAGGCTAGAAATTAAGGGACAAAAGGTTAAGGTATTTGATTAGATACAAAAATGATACTGTGCTTTATTTTCAATAGCCCACTTATGGTATGTTTCAATATCATACACTTATAATTTGTGCACATTGATTTTTTTGGTTATGTAAAGAAACTTCACACATATGTATACATATGTATATAGCTATATTTATATTTTTCCAAAAAAATCATTAAAGCATATATCTACACACATATGTATATGTATGTATATATGCATACATACATACATATATTTATTTATTTATATAGGAATTTCCCCCCATATCTTTCAATTATATGTATGTCTCCCTTAATCTTTACAACCTTAGGAAATATGTTTTTTATTACTCACATTTTACAATTGTGGAAACTGTCTACAATCACACAGCTAATAAGTCTGAAATATTAGAATCTTACCACATATTTTGTGAACTTATGAATAAAGAAATGAAATAATTAATAAGCATAGACATATACAATAGCTCATCTGCACACTGAGTATAAGTTTTTATCCTACCTTAGAAACTTCTCTGCCAAAGCTGTGTGAAAACTGAGAAAGAGTCCAGGGGTTCTTTTACTTACAATATAAGTGTAGGTGGTACCTGAGTTCTCAAGTAAGGCTGAATATTAAAATATAGATTCCAAGGTCCAACCCCATACTTTCTGAATCAGAACCCCTGTGAGTGGGGTCTAGAATTAATCTTTTTTGTTTTTTAAGTTTCTCAGGTATTTCACATGATCAACAAAGTATGGGACCCACTGGATCCCACTGCTCGTGGTTGAGATTCGATGAGTTTTGTGCTCCATAGAAAGGTCAGACAGAGAAGACGCATAGACAGAACCAATAAGTTCCCAGTTAGTTTTCTTTCTCAGAGTCTAAGAAGCAGCAACAACAGCAGAAAATGGAGACTTGGGTGTTAGTTTCTGAAGTCAGACAGAACTGTGCAGAATCTCAGCTGTGCCACTGGGCAAGTTGCTTGATGTTTTGAAAGTCTCAGTGCTTTTTCTATAAAGTGGGAACAATAATAACCCATGTCTCATAGGGTATTACAAGGATTAAATAAAAATCCTCCTGGATGGCACATTGTACATATTAGCATTACTGAAGTATGAGAAAGCATTTGAGGTCAGGAAGGAGATAGAATTTGGACTAGCGGTGTGTCTTATTTTCTCAGGCTAATTTATCTATCTTAAATTATTCTTGTTCCAGAATAACTTCTTGTCTGCTTCCTCCCCTCCCTAACCTTAAGCTCAGAGTAATCTCATCCTTCTTACAATGCCCTTTCCATGTGGGGGAGAGGGTACATTTTAAAAAGTGTTTTGGAAAAAAGGCTCTGTGCTATTTCCACTGTAAAACATGACAACTTAACTCTCCCCATCTAAGTCAATTCTAGAGTATGTATACCACAAATACAACTGTTTCAGCTCAGGAATATCGAAAGTAAATATTGTATATTTTAAAATAAAGAATTTTGCAAATACATAATGTGATTGGGCTGTATTATTAGCAATCGGATAATAGACAATACGAAGTACAGTTTGTAAATCTGATTTTAAATTTGATTCTAATATGTAAACTGACTTGATTCTGTTGTGGAAACGCTGAAGTACTAATCCAATCACTAATCCAATCTTTAGTGTCATAAAGTTTAACACTCCTCTACTTCCTTGGTAGGTAGTGATAAGGCTAAATAATGTATATATTTTATTTACGTATTCAATAATACAATGTTGTTCAGTGAATGATGTTCTTCTGCCACTTGGTGGTGCTTGCCAGTTTCAGAATTTGCTTCTTGGTGGCACTATAACACTAAGTACAAAGTAAGCAGAACAAAATCACAGCATCCCTATTGGAAAGGCTCTGCTTCAAGCTGTTTAATAATTTAAAGAACCTCTGCGGAAGCCACTGCATTTGTTAACCAGTCACAACCAGTAATTAACTCCTTTGGAGTTTTAAGTCACTTTGGGCAAAATGTCTTAGGAAGAGTACATATTATTAGAAAGCATGCCAAAAATTTACTTAGCAGAGAATTCAATAACAATTTTACTCTGCTAAGAAGTTCTGTAAAATCCTCCCTATATAGCCAAGCACTGAAATCCTAGCAAGTCCCAGTTACATGATCATAATTACCACATAAACACTTTTAAGGACTTTGCCGTTAGTTTCAAGCATAGCTTATTTTCATAAGCCTGGTTAGTTACCACACCAGCCTTGCTACGGAAAATGACATGTTCTCACACTGTACTGTGGAGTTGTTAAATCTTGATCTACATTAAGCTTCTATTTATGTTGCCATCTCTGCTGAAAGGCTGCAGTGAAAGACATCTCTGATTCTTCCTTTTTTGCAATATCGGCTGGCAGCTCAATCTAATGGGCATTCTTTTTCCTAAAAGAATTTAGATGCTCTAGCTAGAAGCTGATTTTCTGATGCCTCCAACGTCTGGTCAAATTGATCTGTTTTAATGGAATCTTTGTCGGGTGAGGAGGGAGATGCCACAGACTAGAATGCTGGGATCTGCTGTTTAATTGCCAGAAGTGAGAGACACTAAGATTCAGAAATCTTTGAAGGGGAGGGGAGGACTTGGGGTCGGAGGCGGAGATGTAGGATAAAGGGATGGGTTTCACACGGAAAAAAAAAATTCTTTTAGGCACTGAGGTGCTGCGCGATCATGTGTCTCAAAGGAGAAGTTAAAAAGCAAGACGTGGGAGGAGGTTGGAGGTTAAGGTGCTTAAAAAGGATAGCTCAGGCACAATTTGTTTTTCCCTTGGTGCCTGCAAAGGATAGATAATCCATGTTTTCAAAGTCTATCGGTGTCCCTTTCAAGTGATTGGGAATGGACGCTAATTGCTTATGAAATGCTGTTAAACAACGCTCCTCTAAATTCAAGGGACAAGGAAGGAGGGGGGAAAGATGAGATTTAAAGTGCAAGAAAGAGAGGAGACAGGAGTCTTTGGAAGAAAGGAGGAAAGAGAGGGAAGCTAGAAACGAAAGAAGGAGGATGGAGGAAAGAAAGAAACGAAAGAGGAGGAAGGAAAGGGAAGGAGAAAGAAAGGAAGGGAAAAAATAAAAGAAAGGAAGAAGGGTGAGAAGAAAGGAAAGCAGAGGAGAGGGGGGAGAGAGAGAAACACGGAACAAGCACACAAAAAGGAAACTCTTTTAGGGCATCCAAAATACTGTGACTGCAGTAACGATCCGTGTCACAGAAGAAAAATGCTCATCTCCGCCCATATCCTGGAAAGCTCTCGGTTCGGTTACCACCGACTAAAATGTCATTAGGGTAAAGAGTGTGCAAGTTCGGCTGCGCGTTTGGCCCAGAGGCAGCTGGAGCCAAAGAAAGAAACGCGCAGAGCGAGAGCTTCCTGCCGACTTAGTCCTTCTAGCCTCTCCCAGGTCAGCGGCGACCCGGCACAGCCTGCAGTGCTGGGGGTTAATACCGCGCCGCTGGTCGGAGAGAGCGGTACTTTCCGGACGCCACTCCCCGGCTAATGCGCCCAGCCACCCACCCGTTGCTAGGGGGCTTTCCCTTCCTCTTAGACGACTGTCCCGACCAAATCTGACCTTCGAAACATGTTTGCCGGCACCTTCCAGGCGGCCGCACAAAACAGGCTCCTGGCTGGAGAAGGGCGAGTGATGGGGACAGGACTTCAAACCGTCGGCTTCTCGGACTGGGCCAGGGCTGCAGGGGGCCAGAGAAGGGAGAAGGGTAGAGAGAGAGATAAGGAAGAGGAGAGAGCCCTGAAGGCTGACGGAGCCGGCCTGAGGAGTAGCCGCAAGGTTGCAGGTTCCTGAGGGAATTCTGCTGCCTTCAGGCCGGCCCATGCCGTTCTCACCGCACTGCCTCTCATTCTCTCCATCTCCCTGCTGCTCCCGAGAAAAATGAGTCCCTGCGCTCTCCTCGCTGCGCTATTGCCAGCCTGTATCCCGTTACCAACCCAGGCGACCGCTCTCGCAAGCCTGAACGCCGGGCGCCAGCAGGGCGCCCTCTCCACTCCGCCCGCTCTCCCTTCTTAGCCCAGCCGCTGCCGCTCTTCCTCCACCTCCGCCCCCACCATCTCCAGCTCGGGGAGACGCCACCCAGCCGTGCCTGGCCTTCTGAGCCCGGTGTCACGCACCAAAGAAGGGCGCTAGTCCGGACCCAGGGCTCGGTAGGGGGCGTCCCGAGAAGAAGAGTAAAAAGCCGGTGGTGGAGAAGGGCGTGGGACTCGCCCACACCGAAGCCCGCGCTCCTCGCTAGAGCCAACCCCCAAGCCCCACTTCGGCCAGCTCCTGGCGAGCTAACCCATCTGTGGCGTCCACCGCCGCCTCCTCCCTGCACCTCCTCGCCGACCCCTCCCTCCCGGGACCTGCATCCTGCTCCGCCAATCAGCGGTCTCCTGCCTCTTCCCACGTGACCTCGGGCGGGCTAAGGACCTGCTGCTTCCCAAACGCCAGAAGGATGCGGGCGGTAGAGCGCGAGAGGCGGCTGCTAGGTTGCGGGGCGCTTTGACTCTCCCTCCGCCCTCCCTCCTCGGGCTCCTCTCCTCTGCCCTCCAACACCCCATCTCCTCTTGGTCCACTGGCTTCCCAGAGCCTACTCCCTATGGCAGCAGCCTCCCGCGTCTCCCGCGCTGCTCCTCAGCAGACGACCCTCTCACTCCCAGGGCTGAGCTGGGTCACTGGATGTTGCTGAAACTCCGCGGATCATGCGCCGGCTTGGCCGCTGCTTCCACTCTGGGTGCTTCTGCTGCAGCGGCCGCCACTGCTGCCGCCGTCCGCGGGATGCTCAGTAGCCCTCTGTCCGGCCCCCGAGATCGTGTGTTCCTTGGAAGCCGTTTGCTGCTGCAGAGTTGCGCGAACTAGTCATGGTGCTGTGGGAATCCCCGCGGCAGTGCAGCAGCTGGACACTTTGCGAAGGCTTTTGCTGGCTGCTGCTGCTGCCGGTGATGCTGCTCATCGTAGTCCGCCCGGTGAAGCTCGCAGCTTTCCCTACCTCCTTAAGTGACTGCCAAACGCCCACCGGCTGGAACTGCTCTGGTAAGCCCAGAACCCCAGCCTCCGACCCCTTAACGCCCTAGAACAAAGCGCGTCTGCCGCACAGATCAGCCTACCCTGGAGCGTCTCACCAGCCCTTTCCTCCCACAGCCCAAGCCTCTGAGAACGCTCTCCTCTTCAACCCCTCTCCATCCGAGGAGCACAGGGAACTGTTCCAGGCCGCCGGAGAGAATGGGGGTGGGGGTGGGAAGGACTCTGGGGTGGGTAGAAAGTGCAGGTGTCAGAACCTTTGCAGCCTAGTACTTAAATTGGAGCTGCAAGGATTTTGAAAATTACTAAGCGGGATGGTTGCGTGGCTTCACTGAACAGAGCACCGATCCTTAGGGAAACCCTACAACAGAGCCTTTCCCATCATCAAAGAAAAAAGTCTGAGAAGAACGGGAGAGAAATAACTTCAAGAGAAAGAACTAGCGAGAAAGCAATAAATCAAATGGTGACTGCAGGGGAAATGCTAATTACTGGCAAAAGTGCTGTGAAGATGTACTGGTCTAGGATTCAATACCAGGTCACACGGACTCTGAAAGGAGCTTGGGTTTTGAGAGAATCAATCTCTCTCTCTCTCATCCTCCTCTTCTTTTTGCCAAAGACGTTGTTCTTGCAGTCCAGGGATGCCCCACTCTGCTTCCCCAAGCTCATAGGTGGTGGAGGGAAGTTGAGAAAAGAACGTCACCAGTTCTCCCAGGCCGGAGTGAGCATGACCTAGGCTGGGCAGACTCACTCGCAGGCGAGTGGAGAGCAGAACCCACCCTGGTGGGCTCTGACATCTTTTCTGGGTGGGCTTCGGTGGAATGACTGGGTCAGGTGTTTTTTTTTTTTTTTTTTTTTTTTTTTGCTCGCTTGCATCCCTTCAGAGCCTGAACTGGAGAGCTTGACAAGCTTCACTGTGCTGAAGCCTCCTAATTAAATAGGAAACAAGGATGAGAGTTGCTGCACTCCTCCAAACTCCTGTAGTATACCTGGTGGGATTGTAGTGTGATTTCGCTAGCATTTTATACTGCATTAACGTGGCTGGATATTGTCCCTTAGGTCTGGTTGGTTCTAATTCTAGCAAGTGTGTATGTAATTTTTCATTTCTGTAAATAAAATTATGCTGTAGTTAAATCTGGCACTGAATAAGGCTTTCAGGAATGTATATGAGCTGAATTGAACTGTATATAACTTTGGAGAGAATGACCAACTGTAACTTATTGGATGAAAGAATATATAGTTCTGAGTTATTACTGATGTAAATTCCAAGAGAAGAAATCATTATGTATCATTGTAGTTTATCCTAACTAAAGGCAAGTTGAAATTTGCAGCTCTATTTGATTTGGGTTAATAGATTACCTTTGTTCTGTTTTTAGCAACTTTTAAATTTGTGATTTTTATAAAACTCATCATGTTTTCTTTAAGTTATTTTTACATATTTGTGATTCTGGAAGAAATTAAGTTCCACTTTGTAGGTGCCTAATCACTTTTTAGGAGCTTTATTATAAGAACACTGAAAAACCTGCAAAATCAATTGTTTGAAATGTTGATGGCTCTGGAGTCCAACATGATGGGTTTTCTTCATCCCTTAGTATTGTTTTATGAAGGTAACTAAAATGTGAAATTGGAATTAGCAATCAATAAATTCATCAATTCATCAATAGCCAGATATCATAAGGGGATCTGTAGAAACAAAAAGAATTTCCAGGCAGATTGTTAAGAAGCTGGCACCCTCACTCCCAACCTGTTAACTTAGAGGTGATCAATCTTCATTTGAGCCAGACAGACCATCACAGAAAACACCGTGCCTGTTTATCTTTATTATTGGGGCTTTGTTTCCTCTTTGTCTGGAGAAATTCCAAATAAGAGGTTGTTTCAGACCTTAAAGCAAAATAGTAATTAAAGACGAAGAAACAGCAAAAATGGCATTCAAAGACCATCCTCAGCTGTTTTCCAAAATGTGGACTTTGGGTTAAAAAAATAGAGCCCCCTAAATGAGAAAATAAATAAATAAATAAGGAAGTCAGGAAGCAAGCGTTAAATCTTTTTTTCACCACTGTCTTTATTAACCCAAGCTAGAATAAAACTGTACTATCAAAAAGGGATTTGACTGGAAAAGAACTGGGAAAAATAGAAATGAATATTGATCACTTAACTGGATTTTGAGGTTATCAGTAGAGAATGACCTTGCAGTACAGCTGTGGTTATTGGAATTGAAATTTTGGGCAGTCCATCTAAAGCTTTAAGATGGTGCTTTAGAAAAAATGTGTAATGCTGTTTTTTTATGACTGGAATGTTTTCTTTTTGAATTTGAGGTTATGATGACAGAGAAAATGATCTCTTCCTCTGTGACACCAACACCTGTAAATTTGATGGGGAGTGTTTAAGAATTGGAGACACTGTGACTTGCGTCTGTCAGTTCAAGGTAAGAAGTCTGATGTGTGCATCTTCTAATTCTTTAACAAGACTACAAAGCAGGGATCTCCCTTTACAACCCATCATTTGGTAATTTATAGCTATGCAAGCTAAGAGGAAAACTGGCACCAAGTAAACGTACTGGCAAGAGAGCCAACTGATGTCAAGAAGACATACACTTCTTGAAGAAATGTATATGCCATAGTTATAAATGCCACTGGAGGTAGAAAGCTTCAGGTTGTGCTTTTGGGCTGTCAATGGAAAATTATGTTTCCATGTCCCTTCTAGCATGCATTTCATAAGTCAACTGACTGGGGAAAAAGTCCAAATGGTCAGAGGGTAAGAAGTGTGGATTTTTATTTTTGTTCTTTCTGTTCGGGACTATTGTCTTTGCATCTTATTACCTGTGGCTTTAATGACCTGAGATTTATTGTCCCGGCAATCTGGTTAACTTTTTGAATTAACTACATATTAATGTGCCCCAAAACTACTGTGCTACAACAGTCCAGGGACAAGCACTAGAAGGCAGGAGGGGACAGGAAAGCTGGTAATAGGGAACCCAAGGTTGAGAAAAGACAGTGTTGACATCTCATGGGATTGTTAACCATTGTCATAAAACAATATGTGTACTGTTTAATGAGAAACTATTTGTTTTGTAAACCTTCATCTAAAGTACAATTAAAAAAAACCTACTGTGCTAATCTGGAAATCATGGAACATAATAAATATGTTAACTTCTCGATGGGTACCACATTCGGTTACAACCGTATCTCCCAGCAATCTAAAAGAACACATGTAGCCACAAGACATTTCATGAACATGAGAAGGGTGCACTTTGCCTAGTGTAAAACGACAACAACAACGAAAGCCCATTGCTGCCATGGTATCATCAAAACTGTTAACTATCAAATAAATATTAATGTCATTGTTATTATAGAACAAATGATTTTCAGCATGTAAATTGTAAAACTTCTTTTCAAAATGTTCATATAATCACATATAAGTTTAAATAACATAGGAATTATACTCATTGCGTTTATTTGTTCTTGAGCGTTTTTGAATGAGTTTTTAAAAATACATTGGAAGTCTAAAAGAAGATTCAACAATGAAATGTGTACCGAAACAAAACTATATACGTGAGATCAGGGAAAACTTTTTTCAAGACTGTAAACAAACCAAGAAAAAAGCAAAGGATGAAGAACAAATAAAAAACATTAAACTTAAATTCACTGGCCTAAATAGCTGGTATAATATGTCATATTTAGAATTACTGATGAAATTTATGTATTTTAAATTGAATTCAACAACCCCATGAGAGAGGTAAGGGAATTCACATTTATATATAGTTTAAAAGTGACTTTTACATAAGCTAAAATCTTCTTAGACATTATTTCTTCTTTATAAGAAAACACAATAAAACAACTGATATTTGTAAAGTGCACCACCTCCTGGCATGTAAGTATTGCTCTGAGCATGCAACAATCTTTTAGACCATACTACTCAGCTGCGGTGGCGCAGTAGTTAAGAGCTATGGCTGTTAACTAAAAGGCCAGCAGTTCGAATCTACCAGCCACTCCTTGGAAATCCTATGAGGCAGAGTTCTACTCTGTCCTATAGGGTTGTTATGAGTCAGAATCAACTCGACGGCAATGGGTATGGGGCCTTGGTGGCACAGTGGTTAATTGTTCGACTGCCAACCTTTTGGAAACCACCAGCCACTCCTTGGAAACCCTGTGAGGCAGTTCTACTTGGTCCTGTAGGGTGACTATGAGTCAGAATTGACTCGATGATAGTGGGTTTGGTTTGTAGTGTAAGAAGGAGCCCTGGTAGTACAGGGGTTAAGAGCTGCAACTGCTAACCAAAGGGTTGGCAGTTTGAATCCACTGGAAACTGAATGGGGCAGTCCTACCCTGTCCTATAGGGTCGCTATGAGTTGGGATCGACTCAATGGCAACAAGTTTTGTTTTGTTTTTTTTAATAGTGTAAGAAACATATTCATGAATATTTAATATGCATATGACACCAATTTCTAAGATCTCCAGCTATGCTAAACAATGTAATCCTGTTCTTTCAATGAACTACGCAGGAAAGATAGAACGTGGCAAATCTCCAATTGGTACTTCCCCCAAAGTTTCTCAAGTAAAGGACAAAAACAGTTGGCTAAATCAGTAATTAAAGGCCCACAGGATTTTAGAGGGTTTTTTCCCCCCTTTCAGATGGTGATTCCCATACGCTTTTTTTTCTTATTTTGGTAACCAAGGTAGACTTAAGAAGTGAACTCCTAAATAGTACAAAATGAACCAGGAGGAACGTTCTTCAAGTGGGAAGTCATGGTTCTAAGAAGATTTCGCCACAAGAAAAAAAAAGGTTAATAGAAATCTAAATGGATGAAAGTTACTAAAACAAAATGTATTAAGTTTCTTTATAAAAAGAAGTGTGTTGGATTTTCAACTGCCACAGAGAATTTTGGTAACATTTTATCGACAAAGATATTTGTGTTGTTCATATTTTTGTCAGCCAATTACATTTGTCATTGCTTTAAATAACTGTTGAGTGGAATAGATTTGGAGGGGAGGGCTATGAATGCAAGTTTGATTAAGAAACTAAAATATAAATTTGCTTTCCCTAATGCTTGTAGCACTTTAAATTTACTACTAGATTACTACCGCTATTAGTTTATGCTTTATAATAATTGTCAGTCTGACAGGAGAAAATAAACATCTCCCTAGTGGAAAATTTAGACTCTACACACACCAAGAATATAGAGTGGGTGAATTAGGTAGGATATCAAAGAAAAAGTACAAGTTGTACAGAGAATAATGGGATATTTTAGGCTAAGAGTAACTTGATTCAGTCATTTCCCAATATTCCTTACCACCATAAGATTTCTCATGAATTTGAGCATTTGGTTGGTTTTTTTTTCATGCTTTTTCCCCAAAGTATCTGATTAAAGGGAAAAATCCTGAAAATGTATTTTCCTATATACTATTCTAAACAATTTCTAGCTAAATCTACTCTCTGTTTCTCTGTATTTTCAGACACAAGCACAAATTCTTCCATCTGAAGTAGGATAAAAACTATAATCTTTCTGTCTGAGAGATAAATTTCAAAGAGAAATAGGTGTATGTGTGTCTAGTCTATACTTTCCTACTTGGGGTTTATTGGAGCACTAAAGTGAACATATATTAGGCCACACCTTACTTAGACAATTTAAAATAAACTAATGTCTACCCTTTAACTTGTTGTATCTTTTATTTCTCATAACTCAGATAATTATTTTCTCCTCCTCTTAAAAATTAAGGAAATTAAGGCACATAAAAATAACTTACATTAAGTGGTGATCCCAGAATAAGCACCTAGGTCCTTTGACACCAATTGCATTTTTTTTTTCCCTTTAGGACATTGTGTATGCAAATTAAAACATCAGTAACAACAACAAAAGTATCAATTTATTATAGACAACTTAATATCAAAAACAATACAACAAACTTCTATGTGATGATATGAGTTCTGAAAGTGGCTTACAACCTTATGCATCCTATCTGCATACCAAATAGTATGCTGGTCAATCTGGCAAGAGAAATCAATTGTGGAGCTGAAAATTTATGAACAGTGAATGGATGGATGGATGGATGGATGGATGGTTGGATGGATGGATGGATGGATGGACGGATGGGAAAGGGGAAGAAAGAGAAAGATAAAAAAGACACAAATTTAGTTATTCATATAAGCACTGGTCGTACATACAATGATCAATGATCACTTAATAATTAAAAAAATATGATGAAGCCTTAAGTTTTTCAGATATCATTTAATTCAGTATTAAATATTTTCATTTAGTAAGCCAGACTTTGGCTCTGCAATTGTTCCAGTTATTTAGGCTGCATGACAAATTACCCAGAACTTAGTGGCTTAAAACAGTGAACTGTAATTTTGCTCATGAATTTGCAATTTGGATAGGGCTTCATGGAGACAGTTCATCTCTACTCCACTCAGCATTAGCTGAGGCTGGGAATGGAATTGGGGGGAGAGAGTTGGCGCTATACTCATCTAAAAGCTCTCAGTTCTTCCCCATGTAGATCACTCCATGTGGGCTACTTAGGGCTTCTTCATAACGCAGTGACTGGCTTCTAGTGGTGCACATCCAGGTATAGTACACCAGGCAAAAGCTGTGTCTTTTAATCACCTGGCCTAGGAAGTCGCACAGAGTCACTTCTGCCATAGTCATAGTCCTGCCACATTTTTAAAATCATAAAATTTTTGTATATAAGGAGATGTAACCACAGAGAAGTAAAAATTACTTATGGAATGGTCAAAGAACTGGGACGTATGCAGATTTTTTTTTTTAATTTTGGAAGAGAAATACACCGTATCCAATCCATTCTTCCTAAGCCTTTGACAACTGGGAATATAACAGAATTTACTTAACATCTGTTGAGCACCTTCTACAGACCAAACTCTGTGGAAGGTGCTGGCAATATATAAAACATAAGTTTTACATAGCTTATAGTTGCTGAAATCTCAGCTAAAAAAATCTTTATTAACCAAACAAGCAATAAATCATATGAAAAACCTCTTCTCACATACATTTTTGTTCATTTGTAGCAAAATGAATTCCATATATTCTAGTGTCAAGTCATTGAATCCACTAGTGTAGTATGTAGCTGCTTTCCTTAAGCAATGTGGAAATTTTGGAACAAAATCATACTGAAAAACAGATTTTTAAAACATCTCAAGAAAAATAGACTCTCTTTTTCCCTTGGAAGGAAGTTTGTACAACACATACATTTATGGACCTAACCATCTGGACTTGAGCTTGTTTTTTCTCTTACCAGCCAACTGCATGGCCTTTAGCAAGTCACTTAACATCTGAGACTGTCCCTTCTTCTGAAACTGAGCAGTGTCAATGATGAACACTAAAAACTGTTTTCAATAATTTGGCATATTTTAATGTAGTGGTTAGACTATTTTCATGTATAGAGTTATCCTGTTTTACTTTTAAAAATGTCAAGTTCGAGTGTCAATGTTAAATGTGCTCTGCTAGTTAAAATATGTGTCATGAAAGGCAAATAATTTAAATTTTTTTATAAGTGAATATTTCAAAGTATTCTAAAAATAGGACTCTGTTAATTCCCCCAAATGCCTCAGGTAGCCACTTCAAATGGGGAAACTGAGCTATAATCTTGTTAAATATTTAATTGTTGAGTAATATACAGAAGACCCTACACCAAGGCAGTGAGAGAAGTGGGAGAGCCTAGGACCAAACTCCCTTTATTGAACTTTAATGATTTAGAGATTGCTTCCTTCTTGTGTTATTCATATTAATGAGTGCAAGTCATGGTGCTAAGGGCCAAAAACATTGTGCTGATAATCTGCAGTTAAGCTCTTTTCAACTCCATACAAATCTCCCTCTTGGCTTGTGCATGGAACTTGGCAGCTCTGTTTTTAGCACTGTTCATATTTGGCTTACTGCATCTTTCAGAAGTGGCATATGAGCACTTTATCGGTTTATCCAGTGTTTTAAGATGCGTATCAGCATTGTGTACTAGCACTTTGACAGAGATAATAAATACTTCCCACCCCCACTTCTCGTCCACTGACTCTACAATTGAGTAAACTGCAGAAGTGGATGAGAAGGATAAATAGAAAATTCTAGAGATTGGAGAGAAGAAAACATGAATCCAAAGAATCTACACAGGAAGTATTGTAACCAGGGTTAGAGATGGAGTTAAAAGGTCCAAGTATGCTAGGACCTGAGCATGAGAAGCTAAGTAGTCTAGCCATCCACAGTAGTTATGACTCTCTACTGCCTACTGAAAGGGTCAGCAAGTCTATTGAATATAATGTTACCAGCTGTGCCCTCTTTTTTTCCTGGTCTCCCCACATGTGCTCAGATACTGTTGTAGTCTTAGTGGGTCTCCATAAATCCCGTCTATATCCTCCTGTTCTTGGTCCTGAACACAGCACATTTATCAAGCACCTATATGCATTTGCCTACCTCCTTGGCCATGATTATGACTTGAGTAACAATCCTGTTTATTTGGTGTCTCCCCAGTACTTGTTCATTAGAAAATTTAACTTTTCACTGACCTTTTGCTATCGCCTTCTTTCTTGAGTAATGGCTGAGATGCTTAGTCTCAAGCAAGTCAGTTTTCAGATTTGAGTTAAGAAAAATATTTGGAAAGCTTGTGGAAGGCAGAGCCCTAATGCAGATACCACAGATACCACCTGATTACAAGCGAATTGCCTATTGAATTAAAGATATTCCTTAACAAAAAGCTCTAATCAAATCAGTTTTTTAAAAAGTGTAATCACAGAAATAGACTGAGTCTGGGAACAACAGTGTAGTTGTGGAAAGGAATTATTTTATAGAGGGCTTCCAAAATGTCTGGATTGTAAGTCATAGAAATAAAGATAAAGAAGATTTCTATAATGTGTGATAAATCATAATGTAACAATTATGGTTGTCACAATATGAGTGTGGTATAATTTGGAGTCACTGTTTGGAGAAAAGCAGATCACTATTAGTAAAATCTTATATTTAAGAGTTTTTCTATAATAGATAAGAAGCAAGACTCACGAAATAAGACTTTCATCTTAGGAACATTGACTTATACCATTTGTAATTTCTTAGGTTAAATACGCCATTATTTTGTAAAGGCACAGAGAAAGAGTTAAATGGTTGATTGGGAAGGAGGCTGTTTTAGTTCCCTACTGCTGCTATGTCTTAGTTACCTATTGCTGCCGTTACACAAAACCACAAGTGAGTGACTTTAAAGGACAGAAATTTATTTTCCCACAGTTTTGGAGACTAAAAGTCCGAATCAGGGCCTTAGTCGTGTCAATTCCTTCCTTATTGGTAGCCCAGGCATTCCTTAGTTCATTGGCGATCCTCACATGGCATCCATCCTCTCCTATGTGTATATGTGTCTGTGTCTAATCTGCGTGTTTTATAACTCAGAGTGATTAGGTTTAAGACACTCTCTACGCTGGTATTGCCTCATTAACATAACAAAGAAACCCTATTTCCAAACAGGAATACATAGGTATAGGAGTTAGGATTCCAACACATGTCTTGGAGGGACACAATTCAATCCATTACATGCCATAACAAATATATCAGAAGAGGGTGGCATTAAAGAACAGGAATTTATTGTCTCACAGTTTTGAAGGCTACAAGTCCAAATCAGGGCGTCAGCTCTAGAGGAGGGTCCTTCCTTGTAGGTAGCCCTGGGTGTTTCTTCACATTCCTTGGCTTGTAGATAGATTCTCACAAGTGTCTTCCTCCATGTGTGTGTCTCTCTCCCTGTCTGTTTTCCTTTCTGGTAAGACTCTACTCAGAAGGGATTAGGTTTAGGGACCACCCTAGTCCTGTATAACTTCATTAGCATGACAAAATGAAAATCTTATTTCCAAACAGGGTCACTTTTACAGGGAAAGGGGTTAGGATTTCAACGTATCTTTTTGGGATACAGTTCAATCCATGACAGAGATTGTTCAGACTCTGTAAGAAAATAGAGTGAAAAAATAAATTTCAGGTTTTTATCACTCAGATTATCACTTTTTAGACTTCACACTTTTTTTAATAAACTCTTGAGTTGAAGTTTACTTATGATAGAGTTTTAGCTTTATTATCATATATATTAACTTCCCTAGTCATCTCACTAGATGGTTGATTTATTTTGCATGTGTTATGAAATTACAGTACATCAAAAATCCAAATAGTTCAATAAAAAGTTGAAAACAAAGTTTTCACATTCCTACGTATGTATGATTTACTTAGTTTCTGGCAAAGGTGAGCATTCATAAATAATCATCTTAATCATTACATTTGTTATAATTAAACAATGAAGCACATCAGTAGTAGTAATCATGAGATAATCACATCCCTGGCGTAATCAGCAGGTATAGGACGCAGGCAAGTATCTCTAATGCCTTAGAGTGTGATTATATTATGATGACTATACCCCGTAGGTTGCCTAATTTTCCATTGTAAAATGTGTACTTTTTTTGTAATAAGGTTGTTATAAAAATGAACTTTTCTCTTCACAAAATTTATAATTTCATACTTTGGAATGGTCAAGAAAGTCTACAGAATGTTCAGTAGTTGCTGACTTTTTTTTTTTTTCCGTAATCCGTAATGTGTTGTTTTTCTCCAGACTAAGTCTACATCAGTGTCCAATGGTCTTAAAAATACATGAAATATCAATTAGTGAACCAAATGTCTTATCCAAATATTTGGAAATTTGTTAAGATTAAAATTAAATAGAAAAAAATAAAACATACTAGGAAGTAACTGGATGCTTTGGCATTTCTGCTGCATACTTCTGCTCCAAACATAGGTAGATGTCACCTATTTTGAATAGGTCGGATATTGTAGCATGTTTAGATTTTCTGCACCGAACCAAATAAGCCATATATCAGAAAATTGAATAATATTGATAGGCTTGTTGCTTTATATTTATCCTGTTTCTTGTCCAGTCACTTTGCTGGAATTTTCAGATCTTTTTAGATGCTTTTTATTACCCTGTCTGAATCAAATGACTGGTTGGCTGACTTGACATTGCCTTTGTGTGTATTTGAGTGATGCCCTTACAAGGTCAAAGATTTATTGGATACACTGGGAATCATCAAAAATGAAGACAGGTGCTTTCTTTTACAAATGATTATTTCTGGTGAGGATGTCAAAGGGAAATGGAGTCCAGTACTAACCATAGGCTTACGTCTGTGTGCTCCCCAGTGCAACAATGACTACGTGCCTGTGTGTGGCTCCAATGGGGAGAGCTACCAGAATGAGTGTTACTTGCGACAGGCTGCATGCAAACAGCAGAGTGAGATACTTGTGGTGTCAGAAGGATCATGTGCCACAGGTATGTATACGATCCTGAAGACAGTCTGAAGCCTTCTGAATGGATTCTGGACCATAAGATCATGTTTTGCTTTTCCTGTTATGTTATATTCAGATAAATAATTCAGACTATATATTGGCTAGACAAAGCATGTGTTGTACAAAGCATGCATTATTCTTATTCTTTGTCTTTTTGCATTTCAAATCACTTCTAGAACAAAGATGAAATCTACCATAAGGATGTTTATAGATTTTAATACGTATGTTATTTAATGCAGTGCAGATAGTTGAATGGAAGTCAAATGTAATTAGAAATCTAAATTGACCATTCAGGTGTCAAATATGTAGAAACCTATGTATGCATAGGTAAAGCTTATTTGTTTGTTTGTTTTGAACAATAGCTGATCTGGAGGCCAACTTTGCAGGTCTGATTCTGAAGTTAAGATGTAGCTAACCTTAGCAGGCCTACAAAATGCTCTTCTTACCATTTGGCAGATTATATTGAAGAATGTATTGGTGATGGCTATTATTTCTAATGACATCTGTCCTTTTCTGACACAATTAACCTGGGATTCTAGAAAGCTTTTTAATTACAGTGTATCAAGAATGAATGCTATGAAGAAACTGAGGAGGAAAAATGACTTGATATGTTCTTCAGCTTTTCAGATTTTCCTTCTGCATACAGTGCTTTTTAGAACTGAAGAGCATTACAGGGAAAGAAGACAAAAAGAAGAAAGCTCAACCTGATAAAGCAATGCTTTAAAATGTAGCTGGGTTTTTAGGTTAGACCTGAAACATCAAAATCACATATTCTAAAGAAACTTTATTGTCCTATGATAAACCTGTTGCCCTCAAGTTGATTCTGACTCCTAGTGATCCTATAGGACAGAGTAGAACTGTACCATAGCGTTTCCAAGGAGCAACTGGAGAATCGAACAATCGACATTTTGGTTAGCGGCCAAGCTCTTAACCACTGCACCACCAGGGCTCCATTGTCCTACGATAGCTGTTTATAATAACAAATATTCATCTTTCTGCCAAGTCCTGATTTCTGAGGAATTGAATGATACAGTTGCAAGAAAAAAATAATGATGATATAAAATATAAACTTCTTCCAAAAAGGAAATGGATAAAAATAGTGCCAGGAAAAGTCTATTCTACAGGAAAGACCCTCTTAGATAACGGATATTTCTACACTCAAGTATTATGTTAACAGTTCTTTGTAGGATGGTTGAGGCAGGCAGGAAATGAGAAGTAATGAATAAAAGTGACAGCAAAATGTGCGAGAGTCTTTGGACAGGTCTCTCTAGTAGGGAAGGAGAAAGACCAGCTTGCTACTCTCATAGCAAAGATGGGGAAAATAGAAAGGCAAAAAGGAAACAAATTATGAAAAATCAATCTGCCATATCTAAATAACAAAAAATTAAAAATGACCTTTTAGGTGGTGCAGTGGTTAAGAACTCATCTGCTAACCAAAATGTTGGCAGTTCAAATCCACCAGCCACTCCTTGGAAATCTTATGGGACAGTTCTGCTCTGTCCTATAGGGTCACTATCGACTTGGGGGCAACAGGTTTGGTTTGGTTTTTGTTTTTTAGGACAAACGGATTAGAAAAAAAAAAAATGGAACCCCCACTCCCAGAAACAAATGATGGAGGCAAATACCAGAGAGGATTGAGAAAATTATTTGCTTCTTTGAGATCATATAGGACATCTGTCCATCTCTGATAGTAGTCAAATGAGGATCAACAAGCAATGACAGGGACAGACAGCCCTGAAGTTATGGTTATGGCTAATGATGTTTGGTAGCAAAATCTCCTTTTTGCCAGTTTCCAGATTCTTGTCAGCACGTGCAATCCCATGCTCCTGATTCATTCAAGTCTTTCGATCCTAGTCCCTAATGTGCTGGTTATACTATGAAAAAAAAATACTTAGCCAAAGTAGAAAATTTAATCACAGTTGAGTAATCCATCCTTAGCTCCTTCACACACTTGGATTTCTATAGGATTTAATTAGGAAACCAATCTTGCTGAATGCATCTTCCATTGACTTGTAAATCTACAAGTATGTTGACCTGAATAATGATGGTGGGGCCAAAGTAATGTTGATTAACCAACTCTGACTAAATAAATTGGGGTTCTGATTTTTCATCTAAAAGAGGATTCAATTTTTCTTTGCAGGTTTTCCGTTTGTTTTTTAATGCTGTTTAACTCTGAGTGGAGTTCGCAAATTGTCATCTCTAGGAATAAAAGACAGTAGAAGATATAACTTTAAATTTAGTATATTTTCCTGAATTTACCAATCTTTCTTGTTCAGTAAAGGGCTTCCTATTGGGCAGTCTGCTCAGTGGTCTCACTGCCAATTTCACTTTTTGCCATTTAAGAAATGCATTGACTAGGAGCCCAGATTCAGGTCCAACAGCATGCCTTCTTTGGTGCTTTTCTCTCACTAATAAGGCTTTAGTAGGCTGCTTATCTCTAGTTTGCCGTGATGGCTTATCTTATAATAGAGAAACTATTAAAGCTTCTCATTACGAACTCATAACAATGGCACAGACTTAAGTGACCATTTGCCGAATCTATTCCTCTTTTCTTCCCTGGCTACTTATTTTGGGTCAAATCAGACACAACTTGTCTTAAGGACCATGCCTGTTGAATTTTTAGAAGCATACATAAAAAATTCAAGTCAACCCTTCTTCCATTTTATCTTGATTTTCTGCCAATCATATGTGTTTATTAGAAAATCTGTAGATGAATAAGCAAGATGTTTACTCAACATTTTAATTATGTTCCAGGCACATTGCAAAGCATTTAAAATACACATTGTGCAGTAAGCTTCAAAATAGCCCAATGAGGTAGGCATAACTATACCCATTTTATAGAGGAGGCAATAAGCTTATGAAGAAGGTTGAATAACATTTCTTATGTCATCCAATGAGTTGGAATTGGAGCTGGAAATCCATAAGCCTTTATTCATTCCTCTATGTGTAGTACAGTTAAATATAGGAGGATGAACAAGACATGGTCCTTCACTTAAAGAAATTTATAGTCTTAGTGGCATTTGATCTAGATCTGGAATTGTGTTTGGGATTTCAACATGGGATGAGGGCATATCAGACAGAATATAACAATATTAGTCTTATTTCCTAGTATTAACATTGAAAATACACAAACTAATGGATTTTGAACGGAAATAAGTGGGGGAGGCAGAAGGAAGATGATGCCTCCACTTAACTCCAAGTACTCCAAATAAGATAGATTTGATTTAGAGGTCAAGTTCAAGAGCGTCTTGGCCACTCTTATAACCAATTCTAATATCATCACCAGGTGAGGGGGAAAAAAATTGACTTTTTCTGGGAACTGAGTTCTCAGAGATAGGCAACTTTGACCAGTTGTAAGTATGTGGGAGGAAGGAGAGAGAAGTGGATAAAGAGAAATCCAGAAGAGAGTTTTTTTTTCTGCTGGCATCACTCAGGGAATAAGTATCCAATTTTAGAATGAAGGCAAAAGTTAGGCTCATGCTTCTACCAGTTTCAAAAACAGAGGATGATTTTAGTCTCTTTAACAAATAGATTCATCCACAATTGTGGTATTTGGAAAGCATATTAACAATTATATAAAAAGATATTCATTTATAAACTGTTCTTCTTTCTGCGCATATGCAGTTTGCAAGAATATAAGCCTTAATTGTGAATTTACTTGTCACGTGTCTTAGGCTGTTTAATTTCTAAAACTGATTGTTATGAGCATCTTTTTCTTTTTTTGTTGTTGTTAATGACACCAACTTCCGCCTGATTAAAATACAAATGTGAGGGATTTTACATAGCAATTTTAGGTATAGTTTTGAAGATGGATAATTCTTTCTGCATGAAGTTTAAGAAAGAAAATGATAGAGAACTGATTTTCTAAGTTATATGAATAAGAATGAAATGAAATTAATGTGACTATACATTCATGGATTAAATATTAGTAATTTTCTCAAACAATGATTTTAGAGGCTTAAATAAAGAAAGTTGAACTAAAAAAAATTCCAACTTTTTTTAAAATATATTTTTCAAGCAAATACAATTTTTTTTTTTCCTCAGATGCAGGATCAGGATCTGGAGATGGAGGTAGGAATTGCCTTTTTATATATTTAAAGACTTAGAAGTGGATATTTTTGTGAACATGTACTTGGATATTTTCTATTACAAATATCTGAGACAATTTAACATTTTGCGTTTTAGGAACAGAGAAAACATAAAAATAACATTCTTGTTATTAAGTAAATATATATTGCATGCAAATTCTTTGACATATTTATTAATCATACTTAAGAAGTCTATCTCCATCTACCGTCCCTTATTCATTCATGTCTATCTTTGAGACAGACTCGCATAATGTCAAAACTTCCTAACAGTTGCTTCCAAACATATTTGGCAGAACAGAAAGAATTCATGAGGAAATCATTTAAATATTATGTTTTGAAAATATATAACACTGTCTTCAGTTGTCTTCAACAAGACATCAGTATGAACACGTACACAACCATCATGTAGGCAAAGTCAAAATTATCAAATATATAATCTGAAACTAAGGTGGCTTTAGTTTATATAAAAAGATAAACAAAATTTAAGTCACCAAATATAAGGTGTTATTTTTATTTGATGTTGAAAAGTCATATGACATTAGGTCTTTGTTTTACTACTACTAAGAAATTAAGTTTGTTTGTTTTTCTTAGCTGATTTCATATTCCTAAAAATCTTCCCTAGAATTTTGAAAAGAAGAGCTTAGAAGAACAAATTATATCTTAAGGAAAGAGAAAAAGAAAGGAACAATTCCTCTAGTAGATATTTGACCACTGAAATATTCAGAAATTAATCAATTTTTTAAATGTTTCTTTTGGAAGAAATTAGTTATACACAAAATTCTGTATATTTTCCAACTGTTTACTTTTATGTGTAGATTACCTAATTTAGCAGATAATGTGTTAAGATGGAACTGTTCCACTCTTCACAGCAGTATTGACTGCCTCCATAGAGTTTCCTAGGAGCCCTGGTGGCTCAATGGTTAAGCACTTAACTGCTAACCAAAAGGGCAGCGGTTTGAACCCCCCCACCACTCCTCAGGAGAAAGATGTGGCAGTCTGCTTCCCTAAAGATTACAGCCTTAGAAACCCTATGGGGCTGTTCTGCTCTGGCTATAGGGTTGCCAGGAGTTAGAATCAACTTGAGGGAAACAGATTTTCTTTTTCCTTTTTTTAATCTTTACAGGTGCAGATCGCCAGGTTTTTTCTCCCACGTTGCTACTTGTGGGTTCAAACAGCTGACCTTTTGGTTAGCAGCTGAGCACTTAAACATTATGCCATCAGAGCTCCTTGTTAATTTTCTAGCATTTTTAAAAAGCTAAGCTGAACTAAACAAACCACTGCACACAACACAAAGTATCTTCATTGCTGTTTGTGTTAAAGTAGCGCCATGTACTTTTTTCTCCTTGAATCCGTTATCATATCATACATAATTTCTTCACTTTTATTTTGTTTAATAAAAAGAGGTGGCTTATGTTTCAGATACTAGTCCTAGTTTTCATTTGTTCTGATTAGCACATGTAAGTGGAAAGTGAAATCAAACTTACTCTTCCTTATTGTACTTTATATTAAAATCTTTGGTTCATTACGTTATCCTGCAGTCTGAATAAAGCTGATTTTTTTCACAAATAATTTCAATCTCAAGAATGTGAAGTTTATAACTTGCATTTCATGGAATGTGAGTGATACATCATTTGGGAGCCTGTTTCCTTTCCCTGTTTTCTTTTCCTTCTTTTTTTCTTTTTACAATTTCTTTCAATTATAGATGCTTTATGATAACTTGGAGAAAAAATAAAGCAAGTTCTGAAGAGATATTTGCTTTAGGAAAAAAAATATATCCCATTTAATTCTGAGTTGTATTCTAGTAAGTACTGTTGTTCTGAAGATTATGGCAATGAAGATTTACTCCTAGCTGGGTAAACTTTTTTTGGTTTTTAATGAGAGACTGAACGCATATATACATATGGATAAAATTACATTTTTCTAGTCTATGTGTTACTTTGCTCTGAAATACTAATGGTTTTGATTTTCTACTATAGGATGCTAAAATAACTTAAAAACCAGAACCTAAAAACCTAACTTAGAGTGAAATGTGTAAGTTCTATTCACATATCCACTGACCTGTCAGGGTCTACTATACAAAGGATAGATTTACCTCTGTATTCTAATTGAGTTCATATTACCAAAGTATCAGTGTGGCCAGAATAAGTTTCCTTTAAATTAACAGATAGTGATTGAATTAACTGTGATTGTTTGGCTAATCTGATCATCATAACCATGATTGTTCTAAATCTTAGGATATATTGTTCCCAATAATATGTACTTAGTTAATAATTGGGGTATTTGCAAGAACTTTGGGTGGCTAATCTTTATTTTTCTAATTCTTTGTTCTAAGAAGAGTTAATATAACTCCCAAACGGAGTACATTGATCTGAATAGTGAAGTGAACAAATTTACTTGCAAAACATTGATAATGTGTGACTATCACAGATGATATAATTAAACCTCCAAACCCAAAATCATTTTAAAATACATCATTTTTTACTATTTTTTCAGATTGTCTTAGGTTTTTTAAATGAATGCATATTGCATTAGCAATGAAGATTAGATCTTATTATTCTTAAAATAATTTAAGCTTAGTCTGTTTGCACAAAAGCATGTATGCCATTTACTGCATTTGAGAACATTTTTACTACAGTATAAAAGGGATATAAAGGTTTCATTAAATTTATGTTAACTTGTCAGTACTCATTTTATAGGGAATTTTAGAATCATTAACCATTGATCTGTTTACGCTGGTGAAACAATTGGAATAGCTAACCTGATTCAGGTAAAACAAGTTTACTGTGTCTCTAGTATGCTCTGCGAATGTGCATTCCTTCCTAAAGGCAGTTTTAGAATAATAAGAAACAAACACTGCAAACAAGTCTTAAAGGTTGGCTTTTCCCATTTCAGTGACTACATATCTTCCTTTAGTATTCAAGAAACTCATTAATACAAAGAATACTTCTGTATTATTAGTTTTGAACATAAAACTTGCTGTTTATTGAACTCTGTTTTCAAACAAGAGTAATTGTTTGGAAAGGCATAGCTACATCAAATAGCCTTATTTGGATAGACTCACACTTGACAACCAAAAAAAACTGTAATTAACAGACATGTACTATAGGAAGGTAACATGTGGACCAAATTCCAAAGAATTTCAGAAACTGAAATTGAAAGAAAGGGTGTGGTGTTTCAAGTACTTATATACATGGAGATTTAATGTCATAAATAAGAAAATGGGTGTGTGTAGGAGTGATAATAACATCTTATCCACTCACAGGCCTCCTTAAGCAATAAATACTGCAGTAAAGTAAGAAAAAGTATTAAAGGAGCCTCCTCTCAAAATCCAAGTGTGTGCGGGTGGTTGAAGGATAATTTTTAACCCCTGCTTTTCTTCCAAAGTCTCTCAATCGTATTATAAAAAATGAGACTATGAACATTTTCCATTACACTCTTTGAAAACTATTTCTAGAAAGATTAGATTTTTGTTATCTTTCTTTTAAAAAGTCCAATAAAATGAACATCATATTCCAACTATTAAAATAATTGTTAAATGTTAGTAAATGTGTTATGCTGTTATAAAATTAAAACACCAAACCAATTGCCATCAAGTCGAATTCTGACTCATAGCAACCCTATAGGATAGAGTAGAACTGCTCTATTGGGTTTCCCAGGCTGTAAATCTTTACGGAAGCAGATTGCCACATCTTTCTTCCATGAAGCGGCTGGTGAGTTTGAACCGCTGAACTTTTGGTTAGCAACCAAGCACTTAAGCACGGTGCTACCAGGGCTCCTTATGCTGCTACAGGTATGGCAAAATCCACAACTGAATCTTTGATTAACATATATGGGCTGTTACAGGATAAAGTCTACAGAAATAAAATGTATTTAATATACACTGCATAGGTACGGTTGTTATTTCATGAGATAAAATAGAGCCCTAGGCCTATTTATACAACCTACATACATTGATGTCAGATATATACAACAACAAGTCAAACTGAACATATGTATATTATCTGGATAATGAAAAGCCTGCTTTTTATTTGAATTATCTGGGTAATTGTGATTTTGATAACTTTTGTGTAAGAAACCAGTTACCACATATTGTTTTTATTTGATGCAAAATTGTGTTGTACAGATTATCTTATATAAAATTACTTAAGATGCCCATAATTTACATGCTTACTTCATATACATTGTGGATAGAACAAGAGGGGTTTACATTGCAACAAATCATAGACCTTAAGGCATTATTTCTGAATATGTGGATTGTTAAAAACTGAGAGTGTTGTGAGAAGTGTGAGAACTTAAAAATCATTTGTAAAAACCTTTTATCCTTCCAATGTGGATCTGATGATATTCAGGAAATCTGTTGAATTGAGCAAGCCTAACAGAACCTGGGTACTGCGGTAAGATATCTGGAGCTATAGAGATAAGTATGACACAGTTCTTTACACTCAAAGAGATTGCATGCAAATTCTCTTCTCAGAACACAATGGGAAAAATTATGATTCTAATTATATAAAGAAAAATAATCCCTTGCAGAAGTAAAATGTTAAATGTACTGTGAATAACAAGGAGTTCAATGTTCATTTCATAAAGTATGCTTATGTAAGGCTAAGTAACTTTTCCTTACCTGTTGCTGTACTTTTACCTGTCCTGACCTGAATCTGCCTTCTTGACCTTACTGTCACCATCAGGTTCTGGCAGGTACAGCGTACCTCACCATGTTTTTTTCTCTGTTGGGTTCACATTACAGCCAAAGTCTGACAGGTATCAGTTATAAGCAGCTTCAGCTGAAATACTGATTCCATAAGGATATTCTACAAAGCATGCAAGGTCTGAGATTCTTCTATAGCAATACATGTGGGGAGAAAGCAGAAACTATCTTGTCTTTTGCTCTTTCACACCTGAGAGCTGCTATTCTGCCAGGAGATGAGTTTATCGCCATCTGAAGCTCAACTGAAATCTCATCTCAGCTTTCCATAGGTTGGAATC